ATGAGCTTGGTTGGTTGTTGTGGAAGGTAAATACATACAGAGAGGAACAAAGGCACCTAGGTCAGGAAAGTACTAGAACCACTAGCAAGAGAGAGTACTAGAGTACTGGAAGCAGTGGCACTTGCTTCTCATGGATGAGGAAGTAAATGAACGCTCTGGACACACTCACTTCCAGACCTCAAATCTTACATCTTCAAAATCCGTCGAGCCAACGAGAATGAATTCATTGTGTGACGCGACTCAAAAGGTTCAGTCGACTGACTGCGCTCCTTAGACCGCTGTCTGGTTCTGAACAAGATTCAACTCCACTGTGAATAAATCACTTCAAACTAGTTGGGTCCTCCTCGAATCGTGAGCAACATCTAAACTATACTGGCTCTCCAAAGGGAAGGACCATGATCTAATGTTTCCCAGAGCCCAACAACGTATCCGAGAAGACATCCACACGAGGCTTAGCCATGAAAATCACGGGAGCTGGTTCAAACCTATACAAGGCTACAGGCCTGCTCCGATGCGAGGCTACAAGCAGCAAATGACTCCGGCTCTCCAGGAACCGACGCCACGGAACGAGAGTGTCCACTAATCAGGAAACACCTCGAGGATACTATACATAGCGCTGCTCATGTACCTTGTCATCTTGTGCGAGGTCATCCTGTGCGAGAGACATTTACCGGCGTGTTCCATGAGCAAAGTGCCCTGTATTGCCCCCTACCTGCACCCCCCCCCCACCTCCTCCACTCCCTTCGCACAACCCGTGCAAGATAAAATTGTAAGTGCTTACCACAGCGTAAAACGGTATTCCATGGTGTTTTGCTAGTACTGCCAACATATATGTTCCAATTTTATTGGCAGTGTCACCGTTCAGAGCAACTTGATCAGCACCTGTAAAAGTTATTGGATTCTCAAGCACTATACCGTTGCGTGAAGCCGTAACTGTAGCTTTCCGGCGGGCCGTTAGCGTCAAGCGATGGGAGCGGCCAGCGAAGATGGGTGGAGCTAATGAGAGGTACGACGGCTTAGGAACCCTAGTCATTTGGTTTTGCGCCGCGCAAGCAATACCACCGCTATTACTGCAGAGCAGGCTACTTGCTTGCAGAGGAATAGGACTTCACAGCTAACCGCACGGCGTGCCTTTAGGATGCTTTAACTGCAGTAATCACTGAGAGTCAACCTATTTCCTCCATTCGAGCCACATAAAACGGGAACTTTGGGAAGGGGAAAAATACAAGGAACATTACTATTAGAGTCAGAGAGCGTGCTTGTCGTAGGTTACGGGCTTGCATACATATTGCTCAGCTTTGATATGCTTTCATTGACTTGTAACTGAACTCACCAACAAGTATTGCATCGATTTTATGCGTTTTCATAGTCCATGCAGCCATGCTATCCGTAATCAATTTGAACGGTATTTTAGCCGTACGAAGTTCGGTAGCAGTCAAGCGAACGCCCTAAACACTACATGACTTATTGAATAGTTGGTGAAGTAATCACCCAAATGTAAAGGTGGGACGAAATGCACGAGGATAAGAAAACAACGAAAATAAACTTACTTGATTGTACGGCCTCGTCTCCAGTGCATAAACCATTTCAACAAGATTCGCTTGATGAAGAGCATAAATCACCCCTGCATATTCCAATTATAGGGGAAAGGGACGGTCTTCACGTCACAATTACATAAAAAAATTGCTTGATTTCTCCAGGGTTGGGACGTTGTATCCACGTTGCGACGAGGGCTGAGAAAGAGGTGTTGCAAGTGATGTCATATGCGCGGCATTCGCACCATAAACAAACTGGTTTGACGCGGAAGTGCTGTAGCTTGGTCTCTACCTTGTGGGGGAGAACTGGGTCCGCAGCTGCAGTAGGGTTTCACTTTCTTCGGTCAAAATTGCACGAGATCGGGGCTTGAGGACAGTGGTTTCGGTCTTCAAGCTCCGTTCGCGCTGCTGCACGGCCAATCACACGTCTGACCAGAGCCAAATGCGCTACAATGTCCGTGGTCTCTCGCTTCTGGTTTCTCTCTACAGGTGAGTGCGTGTTTCGCTGCTGGACCTTGGTAGTGAGGCGTGTGCTGCACTTTGGGGACAGCCTGGGCGGAGTATGGACACAACACTAGGATACCACAACAGTACAGCCCCGTTAGATAGGGTAATTCTCTGTTAGTTTTACGGTATCGACGCAACGTGACCATAAGGTCCTACACCTACTGAATTCTACGGACAAACCTAGAGCAGTGCCCCACGATGAGGTGGCCAAAGTTCCCGTGTTACAGATGGTCATCAGAACAAATTTCGACTGCGGCGGTTTCAGTCCCAGAATCTGTAAATAGACATCTTTTGTTCTTCATAACGCGCCAACAGCTACAGAAGAAAAGAATGGCACAGCACTGGAAAATATCGTTAATGAAGTAACAGTACCGACCATTGCAAGCATGTGACACCCGATCGAAGTACGGTAACAAGTTATGTAGAAAGGTGCAACAGTAATCTGTCACAAACTTCGACCCAATAATGTGTAGCCACTTGAAAACTGCGCAGCAATATTTCGAGATACTGCTTCAGCTAAGCTACTCTGCCTACGGGACCTCCGGCAGAGTCATTGATTGCGACTACGAAGAGGAGCCCAGACCGAGAGACAGAACATCTGTTTTAATTTGTACCCACGGCAGATCACTCGACCCCAGCAAGAATCCTTTTCGTGTAATAAGTTCCCACGTATGGGCGAGGCAGGATTTCCCAATGTGCCTTCTTCGGAGCGTCTCTTCTATTCAGCGTGTTAGCACGGGAGGAGGTGCTCAAGTGGGAGACTGGTAGGCTATCATTCTCCTATGGACAAGCGCGGAAATCGTCTTTAATGAGGAATTTATTAGGAAGGAGGTATCGATTCTCACATATACCTATACTTTTAACGTTATGAACAAGCATACGGTGTCAGGGAGCAGCGAAGCTTGGGAAGTTAGGTTTTCCAGTGAATCTGAATAACTTGGACAGTGTAGTGGGCAGCCAGGGCAGCAAGTGCAAGAAATGTAGTAGGCATTGCTCAAAACGAAGTGGATGTTGGGCTAGCTTTGGTTCGTCATGGGATGAGGAAGGCCTACCTCTTAGAACTCATGGGAGACAAAAGAGCGCGACATCTGTCCTACTGAGTCTTGAGTGGCATGCAGATGTCCTGCTTGCCAGTCAAGACTCAGTACGCTGCCCTCTTTCATCTCCAATGAGTTCTAAGAGGTAGGTCTTCGATCTCGTGGGGACAACTCATCAAAAAATACTTCCTTGAATTTTCCCTTCTGATTCGACCCCCTCCTCCAGCCCACCCCTCCGCCTAGCATCTCCC